ATTTCTGTCTTGCATTTAACAAATATTTCCATGGCCCATAAGTATTAATGTAAAAATATTCTCACTCCTTTATATAATGTTTTAAATTATCTTGGAAATTTTTTAAAGATTTCTAAATTTTCTAAATTTTGCCAAACTCAATAGATATTTCTCTTGAAATTGTGTCAATTATACCTGTTAGTATATATTTGTATACTAGTATTCATTAGGTCAAAACTCATTTAGGTACTATTAATAGTTGTATATATAAGAATTATGTACAATAAGCAATTATTATTTGACGTCAGATTTTTACTTAGCAATGTTTCAGTTATGTTGTTGAATATCAAAATATATGAAATGCTTTTGCTTTTGAAAAATGTCTCCTTCTCAACCCCCATTACCACATCTCCCACTTCTGGAATATCTTCAAGAAGGCACTGAGAATAGAACACTAATTTAGAAGAAAGAAATTCGAAATGTAATTTGACTTATTTGTTTTTACCTTCTGGACATACCTTAGAACAAAGTAACTTAGAAGGAAAATTGTATTTTAAAATCTAAAATAGTAACTTTTCCATATATATCAAATGTAAACATTTTTGTCCAGAAATTCTGGACAGCTATGTGTATAGATAACATACAGAACATATGTATATGAGCATATATATATGAACACACACACATATATGTATACAGAAATACCTGTCCAAATGATAATCATAGGGTGTACATGGAAAATGATGAAGAGGAGTGTCCTTCACCAAAAAAGGTTATGCTTAGATATTTTATATGATCTAAGGGGTGTTGAGTTTAGCTTAAATAAAGTTTATAGACCCCAAACTTTGTAAACTAAATGAATCATACCAAGCAATTTCGAATATGTTGGTTCTGTTATGACTTAAGTCATAACTAAATTTTTACAAATAGCTTCTTCGTAAATCTAATATAGAAAGAAAAGACAGTATAACAAATAAGGACCACACAGGCTAAACAGCCTGACTTCAAATCCCAGTTCTATCATTTACTCTCTTTGTGACTTTCTCTGGGTGTCTCCCCATCTATAATTAGGGATGACTCCTTCTTCCCTTCCAAAAAAGTATCTTTCTTTTTTTAACTTTTTAAAAAATTTTTATTTCTGAAAGAGAGAGGCAGCATGAGCAGGGAAGGGTCAGAGAGAGAGGGAGACACAGAATCTGAAACAGACTTCAGGCTCTGAGCTAGCTGTCAGCACAGAGCTTGACACAGGGCTCGAACCCACAAACCATGAGATCATGACCTGAGATGAAGTTGGCTGTCCAACCGAATGAGCCACCCAGGTGCCCCCCAAAAGTATCTTTCTTATTAGGGTTATTGGGAAGATTAAATGAATTAATACACAAAGAAGCACTTGGAGTAACATCTCAGTAAGAGCTCTTATTATCAATGCTCATGGATCCACAACTCTTAAAAGGCACATTTGGCTCCTAGAAAATAAAATTCGTAAATCTAGAGATGCCTGGGTGGCTCAGTTGGTTAAACATCTGACTTTGGCTTAGGTCATGATCTCACAATTTGTGAGTCTGAACCCTGCATTGGGCTCTCTGCTGTCACTTCAGAACCTGTCTTGGGTTCTCTGTCCCCCCCTCTCTCTGAACCTTCCCTTCTCTCTCTCTGTCTCTCTCAAAAATAGATAAGCAAACATTTAAAAATGATACATTCAATAAGATACTCCATGCTATGAGTGCTTCCTATAAATTATTCATTATCAAATTATCTCTAGTTAGGCTTATCTAAAAGACCAGAAAAAGGAAAAATAATCTGAAAGTAAGCAAATAGTTTAAATATTATGCTTTCAAATATTCCCAAATATCTATACCTAGATATCCCTGTAACACTGAAATCAAACCAAACAGATATTATTCTCATTTCCAGTGATTATATGGGAGACTTTTAAATGTTGGGATATCATTTTTTATCATGCTTTTCATGAAAGGAATTAAAATGGTTATTAATTAACTGCACAACTAACTAATTTCAGACTGTGAATGCCAAAAGGGAAGTTGGCCAGCAGAACCACCCAATTCAAAGAGAACAGATTGTGATTATGTTCTCTTACCTTCTTGGCCAAGGTCAGACTTTAGAGACATATTTTAAGGAGTGAATGAGACTTCCATTAGACCAACACAAAAAGAATGGAATGTAGTTTCATTTTTAATTTATTTCAACTGGCAATGTCTTGGGTCAGTTTCTGAGGAACTTTTGTATGTTTAGTGAGCAAAAATTCAAGGGGAAGTTTTGTTTTCCAAGTCATGCAGCCATAGATCTCCTAGATTCTTTACCATAAAAATCAGTTATGAGAAGTTAGGTCTTGAAAGAACCTATCTAATTAATATAAGTTCCAGTTCTACCTAGTGTCAGAGGGACTTCAAATGGACAAAATAAAAAAAAAAAATCTCTGAAGAAAGTAGGTCATATCTGGGTAAAGAGCACACATAGCTGTCCTCAGACTTGCCTAAATATACAGAAATAAGAATCCCTGCTAAATCTCAAGTGAATTCAAGACAACTGTCCACACAAACCAGAATTTGGATAAATCAGAGAGTTACTATAATGGAGCCAATATTGTTCTAGAATTTTACATATTCTTAAGATATCTGTCAAGAGTTTAAATAAGTTACTTCATGGTATTTTTGTCTCCATATCCATTTTTCTTGGCTAGGTAGACTGGAGCACCTCACACTGACACTAGCCTCTCACACAAGTACATGCCACAGATAGCTGGCATGGAGGCATGAGCAAAGGTAAGCTTCTGATGTGACCAACGTAACAGCGATTATGGTCAACAGCTTCCTCTGCATCCCAGTGCCTATTCTTTTTTTTTTTTTTCTTAGTGTTTATTTATTCTTGAGTGAGAGAGACAGAGCGTGAGCAGTGGAGGGGCAGGGAAAGAAAGAGACACAGAATCCAAAGCAGGTTCCAGGCTCTCAGCTGTCAGCACAGAGCCCAATGCAGGGCTGGAACTCACAAACTGTGAGATCATAACCTAAGCTGAAGTCGGACCCTTAACTGACTGAGCCACCCAGGTGCCCCTACCAGTGCCTATTATTTATGCTTCCCTTAAATAAGACCCTATGGAGGTTACCAAAACCTCATTTGGTTTGAATTGATTAATCCCACCCTAGCCCAGGAACTTCAAAACACTCTACCCACGAACCCTAGTAAAGGCATGTGCCCTATGTTCTGCCCCTCTCTCTGCCTGTATTCTGACTTGACCTCTCTCTGTGACCCCCTGAAGAATATGGTGTACTTCCCCTAGGATATATGAATAATAGATTTCTCTATATCATTTTCTTTGTAGTTTGTAGCTGAACCATGGCTTATCATCCAAAACCCTGAGCTCCACTTAATAAATATTAATTTAACAAAGTCATACCAGTATCATAGTAAGCATATGACAATTTAAATATCATAGACAGGGGCATCTGGGTGGCTGAGTTGGTTAAGTATCTGACTTTGGCTCAGGTCATGATCTCACAGTTTGTGGGTTCAAGCCCCATGTTGGGCTCTGTGCTGACAGCTCAGAGCCTGGAGCCTGCTCCCGATTCTGTGTCTCCCTCTCTCTCTGCCCCTCCCCTGTGCATGCCCCATCTCTGTCTCTCTGTTTCTCTTTCTCTCTCTCTTAGAAATGAATAAACAATTAAAAAATAAAAAATAAACTATAGATTAAAAAATTTTTACATAGGAAATAAAATTGGGGGCACCTCAGTGGCTCAGTCGGTTGAGAATCCAACTCTTAATTTCATCTTAGGTCATGACCTCACAGTTTGTGAGATTGAGCCCTGTATCAGGCTCTGTTTTGACAGCTTGGAGCCTTCTTGGGATTCTCTCTTGTGCTCTCTCTCTCTCTCTCTCTCACTCTCTCTGCCTCTCTGCTCCTCCCCTGCTCACACTTGTGTGAATGTTTTCTCTCTCAATAAATAAATATTTTTAAAATCTTAAAAAAAGAAAAAAATTAATAATAAAACTAACTTATAGCTATCGTTTGATCCTATTTATTATAAGTCCTTGATAGTTCCCCCAAATTAAGGATTTCCACGATGTTAGCAGATATTCTAAGTGATCTTGTCCTATTAAAATAGACCTGGTGAATGAAAGTAAATAAAAAATGTACTACAATTAGAGTACGAGGATAATTTTATTGCTACTATAGTTGAAACTGGTTGAATAATTTGTTTGGAAATTTGATTTATCTGTCCAAGAAGACATCAGAAGCAAAGACCATCCTGATTAGATTGACAGCTCAGAGCTACTGAAAGAATGGTTTGGACATTTATTCTGGAACAAATACAATACAGCCTTTAAGTCACACAGGGAAGTCATAATTTTGACATTATAGAGATATCTTTATTTTATTATTATTTTTAGTGAGGTGTTAAAAATAAAGGAGATCATTATGTAACAAATAAAAGGCTAAAGTCAATATTGAGTGAAAATAAACCATTTATGAAACTTTTTCTATAAGAGAAATAACAATAGTGTATTAGGTTTTGCTACCTTTCACAGATTCACCACCTTCAATACATGAGTAAAGAATGTTTTTCTGACTGGATTTTTAATGTGTGAGTTTCAGAATGCCCAGTGGGAAAATGCCATGTTCTTATGCTACCTATATCATTTTAGTTTGATTAAAATACTACACACACACACACACACACACACTGACAGTCACACATACACACACGAATCCTACAGCAGCAAATCCTGCAGAACTATCCAAACACTTAGGTGAATTTGCTTATGGTTATTGTATTTGAGTAAATTTTGTCATTTTTAAAAATTTTTATTTATTTGGGCAGGGGAAGGGCAGAGAAAGGGAGAGACAGAATCCCAAACAGGCTTTGTACTCTTAATGCAGAGCCCGATGTGGGACTCCAACACAAACTGTGAGATCATGACCTGAGCTGAGACCAACAGTCAGATGCTTACCTGACTGAGCCACCCAGGTGCCCTAATTTTATAATTTTTGTTTTAATGGATAGTGGGCAGATTCAAGACAGCTGTAAACTCTGATGGCACCTCCATGAAGAAGTGGAGCCTATGACACCGCCTTGAATCTGGGTGAGTGCTCTGACTGCTTTGGCCAATAACATGCTGCTACAAAAAGGCTGTGGACAGGGGCTGGGTCTGGACCTTAAGTAGACCTTAACAGTGTCTACTTTCTGTTTCTTGGAACACTCTCTCAGGCAACTCTGAACCACCACATAAGACTTCTGACCACCTGAGATTGCCATGCTGACTAGCACATATAGACATCCTCCTTGACAGCCCCTGACCAAGCTCAGTCTTTGGTCATCCCCACTAAGGCCCCAGATTTAGGAGTGAACCACCTTGGACCCTTCCAAAGCAGCCCTGCCACTGAATACCAAAGTGGCCTTTGCTGAAACCACATGGAACCAAATAGCCCAGCTGAGCTCTGCTTGAATTGTTGACCCATAGATTATGAGATATAATAAACTAAATATGAGTTCTAAATATCTCTCATTGCTTATTTAAATCATATTTTCTATATAAGTGAAGCAAACAGAAACATTTTTGTAAATAACAGCTCTATAAATTTGAGAGAACTTACTGGGTTTCCTATGACAAATAGAACAGAATTCTTCCATATCTATCTTACAATTTTGTCTCCTTAAATTCAGAATAAATAAAATTATTAAAGAATTCTCAAAAAAAAAAAACCCAGAATAAAAGATGGAACCCTGCTTAAATTTCACCTTCTCAGACAGGCCTTCCCTGACCAACCTGTTTGTACATCTTTCATTGATTTCCTTACTCTGCTTATTTTTATTTCATTACATTTATTACTACTGACATTATTTAAATATGCAATGTCCACCTTCATTTTTGCATATCACCTTCCTGAGTGTACTCTATGTTGTTTCCAGCATAGAAGTGACTCGCACATAACAGCCTTAAATATTTACTGTAGAAGTAAAACTTTGTCCTTGGATATTTTACCTGAAAATTAGATTTTGTTTTAACGAATATAAATATGTCACTCCAATATTTTTAAAGAGAGAGGTATTCTGACATTGGATAAAGATAGAAATTTTTACTTTTCAAGAAATGATTAATATATGCATTTGATAATGCCTTTATTTTTAGGGATGACTATTTACTTGATATTCATTTATGTAGCCAAAGCCATTTAAAAATTAGATTACTGTTAAATATCATATTAAAACTTATAGTTCTCTCTGGAATTAATAACCAATAATTTTTCTTTGTCTTTCTTTGATTTGTGTTTAATTTACATGCCAGTAAATTGTATATGAAATACTAGCCCCCATATTTCATGTGATTATCTGTATAACTCATGTTCATGAGGGTGTCAAGACATTTATTTTAGCACATGTGAGTTTACAATGGCATTGAAAGGCCACGTTGGTAGAATTAATTGTCTTATTTGACAAAGGGTAGAAAAAAATCTAGAAAGCCTTTAAGTAAAAAGTGAAATTAACTTTAAAATGGCAAAACATACAGTGGTTCCCCATTTGGTTTAAATGAACACACTATTATCAATCTTTTCATAAAATCTCAGTGTGGTACCATTTCCCTATTAAATCTTTCTGCAAAGGGAGTGGAGTTATTTTGTATGCTTATCCTTTGTTCTTCTACCACTTTCTCTTTCCCATGTTTACATTACAAGGGGGAAGTTAAGAAAATAAAAGAGGAAGCCAACTGAGAAAGGCCACATAGAAGATTTGAAGCTTCAGGAGTAGGAGCAAGGAGAACAAATCCTCAAGGCATGTTGCTTGCTTGGCTAACAATACATTTCACTTTAAAATTCAGTTAAACTGCAAGAGAAGCCACATCATTATTTTCCTGAATTAATTTCTCTCTCCCATGCAACAATGACTGTTCTTCTTATCAACCACTTTCATAATGGGGAGTAAACAACCAACCACCTCAGCAACATATATTATTAAGATTCTTCCTTTTTCAGGCCAGCTGTCCCTGCAATTATATTTTACAAATACAATTCTACACAGCTCCTCTCAGTTGAACACAATAATGTAATTTTACTGAATGACTCTGCAGAAGGCCTAATTATTTCTTGAAGCAGGGCTCCTGATGTTATTTTGCATTTAATTCATGACCACATGCTGAAGGTTATTATCTGTACAGCAACCAATTGAAATGTTTTCTAAAAAATATTTCACATACTTTTTAGCCTGTGACTTTTTAAAAACAGTTGTACTTTGCTTTGCTTCTTGAACATACCTGAAGGATTCAAATATAATAGAAGAATTAAATTATAAGCTACACACACACACATGCACACGAACATGCATATATAGAGAATTAAATCAATTTTAATTCAAAAATACATATTAACTCTGGTATTATTGAAAGTGCACCTGTGTCATCCAGTCAGTTACCTATATAGTTTATTTTAATAACAAAATTAACTTGTATATCTATGTCAGTGATTATAAAGTGTGTTATTCATTCATGGAGTCTTTTCTGAAAACACCAATTAAAAGCAGGGGTGGCTGGATGACTCAGTTGGTTTGGGCATCCAGCTCTTGATTTCGGCTCAGGTCATTTTCCCGGGGCTGTGGGATTGAGCCCCACATTGGGTCCTTCAGGTGCTTAAGATTCTCTGTCTCTTGCCTTCCCACCCTTAACTTGCACTCTCTCTCTCTGTCTGTCTCTCAAAAAATAAAATAAAAAGATCTCCTTTTTTTTGAGATATCTAGATCTTATTCAAATTCTTTGTGACATCCACTATATACTATTCATCATATTATTTCCTTAAACTGTAGTAATTTTTTTTCACAGAGACACACATATTGGGTGCATATAATGCATTATTTTCCATTTAAAATTATATTGATATGAAAAAATACAATAAAAGTAATAGTTAACATATAGCAAATTCTTAGTATGTACCAGAAATACATCACCCTTTAGTTATGTTATCTCCCTAAATCTTCACCATAGTCCTGGGTAAATATCTCATTTTACAGATACGAATTATAGAGTTTGGAAAGATTTAGTAGCTTGCAATAAAGAAAGAAAGAAACAAACAGGTAGTAAATGGAGAGCACAGGACTCTAGTCAAAAGATCTGCTATCACAGATCTAATTCACACCACTCTAGGTGCTGATATTTATTTAGATTAGGTTTTTATTTACTGAGATATTGCTTGTGTGTGTGAACTTCATATATATATGTATATATATATGTGTGTGTGTGTGTGTGTGTGTGTGTGTATATATACACATATATACATATTTATTTATTTAAAGGGTTATAAGGGTAGCATCAAAATTTCCCATATGGATGTTGGGTCTTTAAAAACAGGCAAAAAACCTCAGTAATAATATTGACAAAGTGCATTTCTCCATTCTAGAATAGAGGTTGTAATAAAACTTATCTTTCTTATAAGATTTCTTTATCTGGGGAAATTATATGTAGTGCGTTATTACCTATAGATGGCAATAAAAATGATCCACTCTCTGACATAGTCCTTAATTATACTTGAGGGTAAAAACTATACTGTTCAATATGGAAGATAAAAATTATATTTAGAACAAGAATAAAAGAAAAAATAAAGCTACAAATGATAAAATAATAGTAAACTTAAAATATAAACATGTTTTATAGAAAAAATATAAACATGTTTTTTACTTGTCAAATAGTCCTGGAACTCCAGCAGACCATCTCCACAATGTAGGCTTATTCTTTGGGCACAGAGGTCCATTTGTTGAAACGGCATTAAAATATACCTATAAACCTCACAAATTCTGCCACAGAATCTGGTCTATAAAAATAATTAGCTATGAGTCAGCTCTGGCTGCAAGAATATATTTATTTATATCACCTAGGAAGCATTTAATTCACAGAGAATTTGCTCATGTTGTGACAAGTGTAATTCCAAACCAAGAAGACAGACAAATATCTATGTTAATGAAGTTCACAAAGAAAATATTTTTCTGTTCCATAGAAATACTGTAGGAGTCATTTCCTCAGTATGCAAATAATGAAAGTCAAATAGTTATGAGTTTTGTGATATTACATACAGATATGTCACTGAAATATTTTAACTTACCAATAATAAGCTTAGAAAACATTAATAATGATTGATTGCTGTGCTAATACTAATACTAATTAACTAATACTTTTAAATAAAATTACAATAATAGTATAATAACAAATCCTGAGGTCTAGTTTGCAGAATTATAGTCAGAAGAAGGAATATGTGATTTTAGTAAAGACCCTTAGACTGCAATGCTATTAACCATGTGATTAGTATAGTTCTTTCTCTGTTTTATATCCAGGTGGATGAAATCAAAAGTGTGATAAGTCATAAAAACATAAATGTTTGAGATGAACTTTATCACAAGAGACTTATTGTGCTGTTAAGCTTGAGATGCTGTGAGTGTAGGAAGAAGCATTCTGTGAATAAAAGGGTAAGAGTCTTTTAAGGCGTAATACATTTGAAAAGTATTTTAAAGTATTTTTAAAATTGGGGTAGATAAATAAATTAAGATATATGACATTTTACACCCAGATACAATATATAATTTAGGATTAGCAAACAAAAATTCTAGACACAAGAGGCTAATATCCTGTCCATATCGCAGTAATAATAATAGAATAGTCTTTTATTTGTATGGCTTTACAACAAATGGATTATTCATATTGTGTCTTGGAAAATACAATAAATTATATAGTAACAAACCATTAATGTGAATAAAAATAATTGCATTTCTACAAAAGAGATAATGCTGGAGATGCTTGGGTGGCTCAGTCGGTTAAGCATCCAGTTTTGGCTCAGGTCATGATCTCACGGTTCCTGGGTTCACACCCCATGTCAGGCTCTGTGCTGACAGCTCAGGGTCTGTAGCTCGCTTTGGATTCTGTGCCTCCCTCTCTCTCTGCCTCTCCCCAGCTCATGCTCTGTCTCTCTCTCTCTCTCTGTCTCTCAAAAATAAATAAACATTAAAAAAACCCTAAAAAACAAAAAGAGATGATGCTGTAAAATGGTTTTCAGCCATGAATCTGGTGCAATAACTTTGTTACATACACAGCTTTAGCCAATCAAGTAACTGGTGTAATATACTTAGAATGAAATACAATACTTTAGTAACTAATCATGAGTCTACCTTAAACGGGAAACACTGAAGCTAGCCACCAAACTGAAAATATGACTTCATATTAAGAGTTGATGAAAAATTCTTCAAAAAGAATGAACTTAGATGATGCTCCAAAGAATACCCCATTGTATTTCTCAAAGAAGAAATTTTAGAGTTTCCATTCTTTAATTAAATCAACATGATTAGAAATCTAAAACAAGGGGCGCCTGGGTGGCTTAGTCGGCTAAGCGTCCGACTTTCGCTTAGGTCTTGATCTCGCCGTTCCTGGGTTCGGGCCCCGCGTCGGGCTCTGTGCTGACTGCCAGCTCAGAGCCTGGAGCCTATTTCAGAGTCTGTGTCTCCCTCTCTCTCTGATCCTCCCCTGCTCACGCTGTCTCTCTCTCTCTCCTAGAAATAAATAAAAATATTTTTAAAAAAAAGAAATCTAAAACAAAAAAACAAACGTAGCACCTCAACGAGTCAAAAATAAACACAGAATATGAACAAGGCACAGAAAATCTGGGCTAAAAAGTATTGTATAAAATAGAAAACAAATCACGATGTCCAAAATTTAGCATCCAACATCATTGTAAAACATATAAGATGTGTCCAAAACTATATCAGAGGCACAAGCATAGTTTTACATATTTTAACAATTATAGGGAATGAAAAGAATTTAAATAATTACATTAATAGGTCATACAAAGAACCATGAATACCTAAGAGAGATAGGAAAGCTATTCCAACAAAATTGAAGCAAAAAAAAAAAATGTTTTTAAGTAGAATTAGTAAATTTTAAATAGATTTTTGAAGAACAATGGAATATATAAAAACTTTTCTAATCTAAATTCATACGCATCATGAAATATCGATTTCTAAGATATATTATAATCTTTCAAATATCTCCAGTCTGTTCATAGGGCCAGCCAGCAGTAATAGTCATGTAAGTGACTCCACTTTAGAAGTAATTTTTCCAGTCAAATTGCTTTAGCTGATACATTTTGAAGGAGAAACGATCTATTCCCACCAAGTAATACTTAAATTGCATAAATGGGAACAAATGAATAGCTCTTGTTTTCGAAGCCACTGCATTTGGCAGTGAATTGTTATGTAGTAACAGGTCTTTACTAAAACAGTTTATTCCTTTGAAATCCCTTTGCAATTTCTTACGTTCTTTCAAATACCTTTCTTCTTTCGATTGGTTCTCAAGTCTGATTCTCAAATTCTATCATTATTGAAATATCTATCATAATTAAAAACAAATAATTTTTTAAATAGGGAGAGATTTAAATATATGATTGCATGTATTCATTTACAAGCTTTAAAATAATGTTCAAATAATATTTGATGACACAGAAAATTCATGAGTTAATACTAAATAACAAACATTTGATGAAAACCTTTATTTTGCTTTCTTGGCCATTCCGTGGACCAGCCAATACCACCCAAGTCCAAATCAGCACCCAATCAGCTGAACATGAGTGGCGAACGAACACACCACCCTGATTGTGTTCTCACTATAAATTCATGAAATTCTCTTTCACCTTTCGTGTCTACACTATCCTGCCTCTAGTCCTTTCAGTCATCAAAAGGCATCATTTCAGGCTGTCACGATGACCCGTCTCACCTGCCCTCACATCCCCTGCCCTCCTGCCTGCTTCTATAGTTCCATATCTCACCCTTTTCTTGCTCTTAGGCATCTTTCT